ATTATTTGTATAAATTGAAGCTATGCCAGCTAGTTAGAAAGCCTGGCTCAAAGTATGCTAAAAATGGGAGAAGCAGGACATGCTCTTGGATGCAAGGACTGCATCTGGTAAGAATTTTACCAGCTGAACTTTGCTTTTGCTTCCTAGGCAAGACTGTCACATGTCCACCATTCAGAGTTTTAGGATTTTTATTTTTTTCATTTTGCATCATGTGGAACAATTCATATCAATCAAAATAAAAATTTTCCTTTCACTATTTTGAAAAAAAATCTGATTAATTATTGTTATTCACCCTGTTCAGGCATCAAACTGAAAAAGGTTGTTCCCAGAACTCCATTTTAGAATTTCTGAGTCAGACTGTATTCATTAGTTTGTGTTCCCTTATTTGTTCATTTAGAAGCTGTCATTACGCAACTTTCCATTAATTCATGAAAATATTCAATAAAACTATTGCATGCAAATAATTCCTGGTCTACAGATTATTTATTCATATTTGGTTGAGTGAACTTGAACTTGTGCTAGCTACACTGACCTGAAGATAAATCACAAAGGGTTTTTGTTTGCTTGTTGTCTTTTTGTTCTTGTTGTTCTAGTTGCTCTTGAGTTTTATTCTGTGATTGGCCAAGAGAAAATTACTGGTGCAAATAGTGACATTATTAAATACCAAAAATATTTTCTTAGAATAAAAATTTCTGGAAATACTCTAATCAGTGTTTGCTGAAAAGAATGAAAATAATACATTCTGTTTTTTCTAAGATGACAAGTTTTAACTTGAGACACTACTGTAGATTTGGCTCTCGAACTGGCTTGTTGACCTGTGCTCCTTCTGCACTTCATCAGGTTTCCCAAATGTGCACCAGAACCATGAACCCAAATAGCTCACAGGTTTTGAAGCAAAGGAAATGTACTTAATGTATATTTCATAACTGTCAGTCTTACAAGATGTCTGTAATATCTGATACATACAACAAAAGTCCTACCCTGGAACAAAAATAAATTATATGCAGATGTAGTATCACTGAACACCAGGAGTCAGGTAAATATCACCTACAGCAATATTGCAAGTAAATCTGATACTGGTAAGAATTGTATTATTTTTCATGTTACATGTTTGATAAAATCTGAAAAAAGAATTTACCTGGGTCAATTCCGTGTTAATGCTACATGTTTTATAATGCAGTCTATAGATACTCAGACATATGAAACTAGTGCTTTACTTATGAAAAGAGTATTGTTCAAAACGTAAGCTGGTTAATTCATGTGGAATGATACTCTTCCAGTAACTATACAAGTTAAGCTTTAGCTTTTTCATTTCAATATGTTCTCTCTTTATTAGGGCTATATTTCATATTAATAACTACCTGTGTGAGGTGAGATTAATTTAGGGTGGCTTAAATCATATGCCCTTTTTAGACTATGCCTATATCTAACAATTCACAAAAGAAAAGTCCTGTATTAGCTAATTTCGTATCCTTCTACGATAAGGTGACCCACCCAGTGAATCAAAGGAAAGAAGCTGATTTAGTTTTACTGGATTTTAGTAAGGATTTTGATACTGTCCCTCATAGCATCCTTCTGGACAAGTTGTCCAAATATGGGATGAGGGTCCATTGTGTGAAGATGTGGGTGCAGGGCAGCTCTCAAAGGGCTGTAGCAAATGGGGCTACATCCGACTAGCAACCTGTTATCAGTGGTTTTCCTCAGGGTTCAGTTCTGGGGCCAGTTTGGTTCAATGTATTTCTCAATGATCTGGATGTTGAAGGCACCATCAGCAAGTTAGCTGATGATACCAGACTGGAAGGTGCTGTTGACTCTCTTGAGGGAGAAGAGGCCTTGCAGAGGGATCTAGATAGATTAGAGCACTGGGTTATGATTAATGGGATGAAATTCAACAAGTGGAAAGGATGGAATAATGCTGGGGACAAGTAATGGGGAGAGGAATGGCTGGAGATCAGCCCTGCAGGAAGGGATCTGGGGGTGCTGGCAGGCACCAGGCTCAACATTGAATAAGCTGTGTGCCCCGGCAGCTGAGAGGGCAAACTGCATCCTGGGGTGCATCACACACAGCATAGCCAGCCGGTCCAAGGAGGGGATTATCCTGGTGTACTCAGAGATGGTATGCCCTTACCATGAGTGCTGTGTGCAGCTTTGGGCCCCACAATCTAAGAAGGATGTAAAGGTCCTTGAATGTGTCCAAAAGAGGGCAACAAAGCTGGTGAAGGGGCTGGAGGGAACGTTCTATGAGGAGTGGCTGAGATCTCTGGGCTTGTCTAGTTTGGAGAAGACAATGCTGAGGCATGACTTCATGGCACTCTACAGCTTTCTGAGGAAGGGGAGAGGGAGATGCTGATCTCTTCACCCCTGGAATTCACTGATAGGATGTGTGGGAATGGATCAAACTGTGCCAGGGGAGGTTTAGAATGGACATTGGGATGCATTTCTTTCACAAGAGAGTGGTCAAACAGTGGACCAGGCTTCCTTACGGGACGGTTGATGCCCCAAGCCTCTCAGTATTTAAAAGATATTTGGACAATGCCCTTAACAACATATTTTAATTTTTCATCAGTCCTGAATTGGTCAGACAGTCAGACTAGATTATCACTGTATGTCCTTTCCAACTGAAATAATCTATTCTAATACTCTTTTTCCAAATGGAATGGAACAGATGCATTCTTCCCTTTAAAGTCTTCTTTCCATTTAAAGTACCTGTCAGATGCTGCTCATTTACTAGGTTCATGACAGAACATCAATTAGGAGTACATCAGGCTATGCTAAAAATTATTAATTCCACACTTAAGATCATAATTAAGTTCCATTCATTTCACCTTCACCTCCAAGTCTCAGATACACACCAACATGCTGAATAAAAGCCTTTTGCTGTTTAATTCAGCCAATGAAGAACACACAGAGGCACTAGCTTAACATAGAGGATAGCAGACTACTGGAATCAGTATCTGTCTGTAATCTGTCTGCAGGAGAATTAGGTAATCAAAGAAATTAAATTAATTAATTAACTAATTAATGAAATAAATTAATTCTTGGAATAATTATTTTATGTCCTGGTGTGAGAATACCAGGATTAAAAAAAAAATGTCCTATCACTGTACTGACCTGAGCCTGCCCAGGCTGTTTGTCATCTCTCCCTGTGCTTCTGTTCTGCATTTTGTTTTCTCACTAGAGAACATGGTTCACTGAGACAGTTTGCCTTCCCATGCCTCCCTGAGCAGGACCTGCATCGCTGCTCCAAGGCTTTTGTAGACTATCACCAAGACCATGGACTTAGATATCCTATCTACTGCCAAGTCCAGTTTGGGACTTTTCTGGTCATTAAGTTAACTACCTAATTACCACGACTGAGGAGTGTGGGTTTCAAATGAACATATTTGTATTTATTTGTAAATCACCATGGTCAATTACTGTTACAACTTCATGAAATTTATTCTAGTGGGGTTTTTTCCAGTCTTAAACACTCTCTCCCTTTTTCCCCTTTTTATTTCCCCCTGGGAGGGCAGTGCAGGAGGATAACAGAGCATCTGTCACCCAGTTACTGGCTAAAACTGTGACACTTTGGTATTATATTTTCAGTGTAGCTATGTTCTCCTAAAGAAACTATAAAATCACTTTTCAAGTGATATACTGATAACTCATGTTCTGTATACCTTTTATAAAGCACTAAGTTAGAAACATTTGGAAAATATAGCTCACATGTATGCACTATTTCTTTCAATATCACTTTATCTGTTCTTGCTAGACTTTACAAGAACAAATACCCATTCAAATGATACAACTACAAATGATACATCTACAAACATGAAGTACTTGAGAAGATTTTTTCTAGATGTGCAACTGATTTAGTATCTGATAACTTGCATGAGACTCCTTTAGATCCAAACTCACACCTTTTCAAGTGTATCAGCAGGATACTTTGATTGAAAGCTGTATTTTTCTATTTTTTCAGTTGACATTGGAGATTTCCTGTGAATATTAACAAATTATACATATCCATATCCAGTATTAAAAAATAATTATATTAATAATTTTGTATGTGAATGTTGCTTTGCATGTAGAGGAACAGAAGAGAGTTACATTTGTACTTCTCTAAATGAAGAGAAGCCCATAAAGTGGAATAGAAACAATTAACAGAAGTATAAATATTGAGGCTAAAACCTCACAGAACATCACTAGACATCAAGGAATCTGTAAATAAATTAATAGTTCAGATTTAGTGCACTTCAAGTCATGATATTTCCTTTGATTACCGAGTTATGTGCAAGTGTTAGAAAAAAAATGTGTGTGAAAAACCATTCCCTTGTTGGAATTTAGTACACGTGTCTTTCCTTCTCTTCACTCGAAGTGGCTGCAAAAACTGTATTTTCAGCTACAGTTGTTACATTTGCCTTGATCTTTCAACCACAGTTCCTCATTCTCACCTCCACCACATCTTTTCTACTCCCTCAGTTAAAACAAATGACAGGTCATTCACGGCCATAGACTCACAATCGAGTTAGAAGCCTCCAAGAGAATAGGAATAAATAGGTATATGGAGGGGCAGAAAGCCAGCTACAAGCTCATAAATGCAATAAATTAAACTCTGAGTAAAATCTTCACCATTTATTATCCTAATTTATACATAGGGACTGAAAATGTGACTCAAATAAAAGACTTCTGATGACTTCACAGAGTCCATAATTTTTCCCAGTGTTCTCACCTTTGTTCACAAGTGACATGTGAACATATTTCAAGAACCTGAAGATGTCTGAAAGTACTAGTGCATTGTTCTACCCAATAACTCTTGGTTTACTTTATAGAATATGCTTATTAGAGTGCACCTTGTATGCATTTATATAGGAACACATGATTTTATTAAAATTGCAAATAGCCTACTTCACCATTTTTCAAGTGTATCTAAACACTGGCTACTCAAGGCAGGCCTTTGCCAACTAAGAAAAGGAGGTTTTTTTCTGCCAGGTTATAGTGCATGGAATAATATCTAACCTTACCTCTCCATTCTCCAGAGGATGGATTTTGGAATAATAAGACGTGCATATGACTTCATCATCTTTTATATAGGATGGAGTTCCAGGACGGGGATGAATGTTGTAGCGCGTCAGGCACTCACTGTCTGTGATAGCATAATATTGCCATGGTTGATAGTCTACACCGTCCAGGGAACGCTCTAATATCCAATTCCCAGGTCGAGGTGAGTTAGCTGCTTTCACAATAACATATGCAATCTGGAAAATCTGAAAAATAGACAAATTATTAAAAGATATATAAAGACATAATTATAATTTTTTTCAGAATTGTTGATAGATTCCAGATTAAGAACACTAACTAAGATAATGTTTGATTTTTTCTTCCCTAAAAAATACAATATAGCATAAGACTCCATTGAAACTCTTTAACTGCAGAAATAAAATCTCCATTAGCATTTCTGAAAAAAAACCTTAATTGCATTAGGCCAAGAGAAACTTTGAAAACAGAATTTAAGAGCGTTTCAAATTCCACGTAACTTTGTAGGTAATTGCTAAGCTGCAGTTTCAGTCAAATATTTGCAAAGTTTATTTTCAAGTATTTTCAATTTGTAGAAGTGGGTTTGTTTCTGTGTGCGTGTTTATAGGCACAAAATTTCTGCAATGATTAAGAGTTTCCAAACTCTGTTACAACTTCATCACTGGTAAGAAAAAAACATAGGTCTAGTTTAAGCTATTGAAAAGTAATCACATCGTGCCAAAATCGTTCTATAAAATGTTCTTGTTTCAATCACATGACTCGCCACTGTGGCCATAAATAAGCTTTATAGGACAGAGACACATCAAATATAACTATAAACAGAATGTAAGCATGTAATCAGTGCTCATTATGGTCCATTTCACCTGCCTATTAAATTGATTTCTCAAGGTTTATTTCTGTTTACAAGCTTGCTGGAATGCAACCCACAAACAATACATTTGCAATTGCAGAATGACATATGTTAGTGACACAGCTTTGGCTTGTTGTTTTTAACCCAGTAACATCTAGATGCTACAGAGGTAGATCTGAAGGTAAGGAAATATCTATTTCCTTTAGAAAAGCAGAACATGTAGCCAGTTGATATTTTTAAAGATGCTGCGCTGAGAGTCTGGAGAAAGTATTTCTGCCAGAGGGTATCATGGAGATATTTTTAATACTTTTTCTATATCAGAGAGTTACTGTAAAGATTCATGATTCAGACCTAGTCCACACAAAACCTGTTGTGAATACTTAGACAATCAGTAACATTGGTGAAAGAAGATCCTATAGTAAAGGATGAAAGAAAGAGTAAGACTCAAATTGTTTTTTTTAATAACCAGCAGTATTGTTATATAATTGATATGAAGATGGAAGCAAAGAAATTAAGTTTATGTCCAATTATAATTTCTGCCTTCTGTGAGAACATGGCAAGATTCAAAATAGTTTCAACCAGGAAGTCCAATCACTACCAACCAAAGTATTCAGTGGGAATATGAAGTGCGTCAGGCTGCATTTATTTAGATCAGAAAAACATGTGCATAACTGCACAGTTCTATAGAGGATTATCTTGAGTTCTCAATACTTTTTTTTCAATAGCATAAAAGAAACTATCCAGAGACAAGGAGAAACCTGTGTTTCATTCCATTGTTTTACTGGCAATCATACAATCACTTGTCCACTGTTTCTCAAATATCTTCTCTCTTAAACTCATTTATAGATATATTCCATTGTGGCCACAAATCATTACAACTGTAACTATACTTGATCACCCTCACCAATATTGTTTAAAATAAACAGATAAAATCATAACATTAATACAGCTTCTCCAAACTGATCCCCCTGCAGCTGAGCTCTTTGAAATGAAAGAAAATAGCTGGAGTGTTTAAATATTTAATATTTCCTAAGGGTAGTAATGAGCAACAGCTGTATTTTGAGGAACAGGTTTATCAACTGTTATTTTTTACATTGTCCTTTGCACGAGTAAAGAATCCAATGTACAATGTAAATTGGTTTTACACTAGAATGATCTTGTCAAACCACACAAACTCTTTCAGCTCTAGTCATTCAGCACAGAGTAGAGTATTTATAAAACTAAAAAAAATAAAATAAAATTAAAAATTGTTTTTACTCCAAGTTCTCATAATAAGACTGTTTCTTATATGTTCAACACATTGCTAGAGCTTCTACTGTGGAACATCTGTGGTTTAGGACATAGCTGACAATAAATTTTAAGTGTGGATATATAGTTTCATTTGTGGAAGTCCTAAAATTTGATAAACTTCACAGAAGATTTCATGTTAAGTACTGACTTTAACCGGAAAACTATTTAGCTCTGCAAATATCTTGGATGTATTGGCTCTGTGGGGCCAAGAGGTGTAATCAACCATCCTTTCCTGTTTACGTGCTTGGAAACACTAGGCTATGTGTGAGAGTGAAAATTTTGAAAGTTACTTTTCAAATTAGAGCCCTATTTCAATAACATTTTCTGCACATGTTGGTGAAGATTTGTTTGAAGTCTCATTTCTTACCTTCTGGGATAGTGTACTGTTTGACTGCAATTTATTACATATCTCTGGCTTTGATTATTTTTCACATACCTTGTAAAGGAAACTGCAACAAAATCTTATTTAAAAAAGCAGTGGAGAGGAAACAGCATATTGCGGGTCATAGTGGGGTGGCCATTATTTCTTTTAATCTCAGCTTGTCAAGGAAAAAAAGCTTGTTAACATAAATAAAAGAGTACACATGAAGAGATGATTTTAACTACCTCTCAACTGCAGTTTTCAGCCTCATCCAGACTATACTCCTGTCTTACCCTCTGAGAGATCCTGAAGCTACTTCTGCATCAGTATGGAGCTATCTGCAGCCCAATGGCATGTGAAACACTGTATTTTCTCTTTCAAGACTCTATTCACTAGTGGAACTGAAACACTGTTTTGTATTTTAAAAAAAATTACTTGCTGGGCAGAGAAATGGATCTGGAACTAAAGACCAGAAACTTTAAATGTTGGCAGGTTGTTAGCGGTAATTGCAGTCAAGGGAAGATGAACAAGCACATGCATCAAAAATGTGCCTTGGTAGATATTATTCCTGATCTTTCTCACTAAGGCTAGGCTGAAGAAAGTACAGGATGCTAATCTTTTCTTCTTCAAAACACCTTTTTTGGGGGGGACAGCTAGAGTAGTAGAGCTGTACAATGAATCAGGAACACAGTTGTCCCAGCTTAGAGAGCCACACTAGTCACTACTGGCTCATCACAGTGCTACGGCACAGAAAACAACCATAGTGTATTACATGCTCTAATGTGCTTTCTGAACAAAAATCAAACTGAAATGAATGGAAGCTGTATGATGATTCTCAAAGCAAGTCAATGTAATGGAAGCAAGACTGACTTTCCAACCAACTGGAAAGAACTCTTTCTCCAGGTACAAGACTAAGTCTTTTTTTATTGTGAAGTTGATTAGCAAATGGTGTTCTGGTTGCCAAAATACAACCAGCTAGAGCTTAATGGCATGAGAATACTAACACCAATAAAGTCTAGTGTATCACCAAATTTTGCTGTACATATTTCCACGCTCAACAAAAAAGTGAACCTGCTCAGCCTTCTGGAGCCAAGTTTCCTAGCAAATTGTTAACACTGCACTTCTGTTCCCACAGGGTAGTTGATGGAGCATGCCTGGCTTAGTTTTCAAATAGTATCAATAACCTGACAAATGTCAACTGATGTAATATTTGTACAATCTTAGAGCACATCTGGTTCTGTAAAAGTCCAATATCATGTCACCTGGGGGGCAAAGTCTGCTGATTCAAATGTGAAAATGAACCAATACCAGCTGCCTGGTAGCATGTAACAGTCCATTGACACAGCTGCCAAAGCGCAGCTGATGCTTTTTTCTACTTGCTCTGTTCATGTGACCATAGTGTAATTATGTGAGTAGGAGGGAAACAGTCTAAATAGTCCTTCAAGCCTTTCCCAAATTATAGACACCATAATCCTCAAGATGAGAAACAAAATGAGTCTTGGGTCTCATTTTCACTGGTAATTGTCTCAGCAGTGCAATCTGAGAAGCACATATTGAGAGGAATAGTTCCATAAGTTATAGCACTGTATCTTCTTATGAATGCCTCATAAGACATAGAAAAGTGCATCCTACTATACAAGGTAATTTGCTAGACTAATATTATTCAGATAGAGCTGAAGTGAATCATTAATCTGCATAGGGTTAGCTAGTGAAGCAGGAAATCTCATTGTGCCTGGCTCCCACCTGAGCTTCTATTTAAAAATAAATCCTTCTGTTAGAAACCTTTCATGTAAGTCAGAATATCATCAGAGAAAAAATACAGTACCACACAATTCTACAGGTATATTTTCATTTCATCTTCTCAACAGAAGAATATAATAGCTGGAATGAAGGCTATCATGAGCTATCTGGTATAAACTGTGTATGTACTTATTTACTATAATTATATTATGTTGTTGATTATTATTCCAGTTCAGTGGTCAAGTAAACATGGTATTCTTTTATTAAGAAGAGTCCAGAATTTGGGCACAGGATTGTTTCCTTACAGGCTAGCATAAATACTGTTAAAACTTGTGGCCTTAAACATCCTATATGTTCATCTATTCAGTCATTCAAAAGTGTTGTTAGGGACAGCAAAGCACCACAGAGAGCCCTTTTGTCAGTGTGAAATCCATCTGGACGAATCAACTGCAAGAGTTGTCTCAGAACATCCTGCAGGCTAACAAGGGCTATTGCCTACAGGGGGTACAACTCATTAAGAGAAGCAAGGGAAAGAACATTTTTGGACTGTGTAAAATTTATTATGAGATATGTTAACATGATTGTGTAAAGGGATGAGACTTACTATGGAACACTTAAGAGGAGGTCATAAAGACAGGGAAACCATAGAATCACAGAATTCCAGATTGGAAAGAACCTCAAGGATCATCTGGTTCAAACTTTCTAAGTAACAATATAGTTTAGATGAGATGGCCTAACACCCTGTCAAGCTGAGTTTTAAAACTGCAATGTACGGGAATCCACCATTTCCCTTGGGAGATTATTCCAATGTCTAACTGTTCTGATCATGAAAAATTTTCTTCTGGAGTCCAATCTGAATCCCTCCAGGAGTACCTGAATCTACCCATTAGCCTCTTGTCTTTTCCTTGTGACTCCCTGTAAATAGGGAGTCCCCACCTTCTTAGTAGCCACCTTTTATGTACCGGTACATGGTAATAAGATTTCCCCTA